TAACGTAGGTAATCCGGCCGCCCAACTCAAGGCCCTTATGAAGCCAGGCGAGCAGTTCTTGGCGGAAGCCCTGGAAGAAGCGGCACCCGGTTTGGGCGTAGCAGCTTCTTGGCTTTCGGAGAATTGTTCACTAGGTTTGTTGGGGCTTCTCGTTGGAGGTCTCTGACTTAAGGTTTATGGCTCTGGGGCTGAGTAGGTAACCTTTAACTGACCTTTAACCTTTTGGGCCTATATGATCCTACTGTAACATATGATCCTACTGTAACTCAAAAGGTTAACCTTTTTTGGGCTAGGGTACTCAGCCCCTAAGATGGGGTTGAGAGGTGTCGAGTGTTTAGGGCCAAGTCCGGCGCTTTGAAGCTGTGGGTATGTGCCAAAGCTTGAGTTGTGGATCTGTAAAAGGAGAACCCTCATAGCATACTTCCGGGGCTTAGATAATGACCTGTACTAGTTTGGCAGGTTCTTTAGCATAAAATATAGTATAATGGGGCCCCAAAGCCCTATTCTAACTACTGAGGCTCCTACATTACTCTTCAGGCTGCAGAGCTTTGGACTTCTGAGCTTGAGCTTAGAAGAAACCCTAAACCCTAAAACCCGAAACCCCTAACACCCTAATAAACCCTTAGAGCCCTAATAAACCCCTAAAGCCGTAATAAACCTCTAAACCCCAAACCCGCTACACTGGAAAGTCGAGGCCGCGAAGCCCAAAGGCCCTGATGTAGGGGGCCTTACAGAAGGAAATCACTCTATAGTTTGAGGTGTATGCCTCTGCAAAGCCTGTTTAAGGATGCAAAACCCTATTTAAAAAAAACCATACGAAGCCCACCCTGCACCCTAGAGCTCTTACAGTGGAAGCCCAACAGTTGGAAAGCCAATAGCCTCAATCTTGCAGAGTAATGTATAGTGGGCATCCCAGCACTCATTGTCCTTAATCCGGTTTCCAACTGTTTGGGGTTTACTATGAAAATATTTGGGGTTCCTTATTAGTATAATTCTAGTATACACCAAAACCCTATGCTAATTCTTCAGGCCCCTATATTAATCCCCGACGACCAAAACCCCAACGTCTCCATAAGCACGGGCAGTATGGACGCCAAGATACATACCAGGTGTCCGTCAAGTATCAGTATACTAAAAATGCCCCCCGCTAAACCCCCCTCTAATGAGTATAGAAACTTGGAGCTTTCAGTGTAAACCATCCAAGCCCTACCAGCACCGTTTTGGGTCTAGACTAGAGTTTAGGACAGTCATGTCAAGACCAAGCTCAAGCTCTTTCTAGCACCCTACAGGGACCGTGAGTCCTGAACTCTAAAGCCTAGAGGCCCCACATTAAGTTTTGCCACTGCGCGTTAAAGCACAGCAGGGCTTCAGATACCTTAAGAACGTTGTAAATTAGATCAAAAGTCCCCAACCCTAAACCCGAATCCTTAATCCCCGAAAACTTGACCTAAACCTTAAAACCCAAACCCTAAACCACGCAAAACAAATCTAAACCATAAATCACAACCCCTGAACCCTAATCCTTAAACCCCTAAAGTCTAGACCCTAAAGCCCTAAAGCCCCACATGCCAAGTGGGCCTAAGGTGATGCAGTCGGCCGAAAAGATCCTGCCCTGCGCGGTAGGCCAGGGGGAGAGAGTCACATGGGTAGGTCTCTAAATTAGGGTACCTTTTTAGGGTCCTTTTATAAGGGTGCCGTACTATATTGGGGAGCTAAAAAAGGGATCCTAACTTAGAGAACTACCCACTGCTTATCTAGCTAATTGGAGTTTCAAGGGTTTCGGCGTTTAGGGTTTAGGGTTACGGGCTAATTGAAGTTTTAAGGGTTTCTGCGTTTAGGGTTAGGGTGTGGGGTTTACGGGGTTTCATAAGGTTTAGGCTCCCAGTGTTTGATTGCTGCTGGTTTTGTAGTCTTAGGTTGCTTATAAAACCAGCCACTGCCAAGAAGGGACCCAGTTTGTGCTTGTTTTCTGATCTTAGGCTCTTTATGAAACTACCCAATACCAAAAAGGGAGCCCTTGT